TGGGGGGGGGGGGGGGGGGGGGGGGGGTAGTTTCCATCTCGACGTTCTTAATTAACCATCCAAATACTCGAGGATCGGGGCAGAACTATTCTCTCCAACTGGTAACATGGGGGGAATGACGCAGCCACCGGTACGCGCCCTTATGCAAATCAAGTTGAATGCAATTGTCGAGGGTCCCAAATCATACTTGACGGGCTTCTCTAACCCGGCTAAAACTCTCAATGGGAATATCCCTTTCAGGGGTAATCCATTTAGGGGTCTCACACGTACTTGGTAGGAATTACAAATGGTAAAGTGCGGGGAATTTTGAGGGGAGCTTTTCTAATGGTGCATTAGGGTGCGGGGATTTTCGGCTCGCGCTGCAAAAACTCATGTTCGCCGGAAAAGTCGATTGCGGGGTAGTGAGGAAATTCGTATTTTTCGATACGAATAAGTAAGAGTGGATTCCGCAGTGATGCGGACGCGGTTTTTGTTTCACGTGTAATTTCATATGTAATTTCATAAATTGCATAAAATGCATAAATTTCATAAATGTCCCTGGAAGGTGGGATGAGTCGTAAGGAATGCCCTTTGCGTAATTTCACATGTAATTTCATGTGGAATTTCATATGTAATTTCATCAATTGTTTAAAATGCATAATTTTTAATTATTTATGCATTTTATGAAATTTATCAATTGCACAAAAATCAATAATAATCAATGTACATTTCATTTTTTTGATGCATTTTATGCATCAATTGCATAAAATGCATAATTTTTTTTCATTTATGCATTTTATGAAATTTATGAAATTACATATGAAATTACGCAATGAGCATTCCTTACGACTCATCCCACCTTCTAGGAACATTTATGAAATTTATGCATTTTATGCAATTTATGAAATTACATATGAATGAATTCAATGTTTTCCATAAAAATGGATCAAATGGATTATTTGATGATTATCAAAACAACAATAATACATCATGATGATAATGATGATAATATGAAAAATTATAAAATTAGTGTATTCCACAATGACCTTCACTCTTCCTCGGCCGGGCATTGGCATTATCTCCTCCCCAAACTTGTAGAAGTGAAAATCCCTGCGGAAAAATACTGCCCGGGCTGTCGTTATGGAGATTTCATACTCGTCGGGTTGGTAAGTCTTGCCTACGAATCGGCCCACCAACTTTCCACGAATAAAAATGGTCAGAACACTTTTCTCATGAGCGTCGAACCCTATTTTTCGCCACAACGTGTGGAGAGTGGAATTTTGCGCAGAGCGTGCGTAAATTTCACTTTACGCACAAGTGATGAAATAGTATAATGTGCACCCAGTGCGGAAAATGGTTTAGAAAATGGGAAATACTGGGAAAAATGAAATGAATTTTTCATATCATGTCCGACTGTTAAAAATAAAGTTAAAATAAAAGTCGAGGAAAATTTAAATTCAGTTCGATAGAAAAAATCAAGAAGATCGAAAATCGAAAATACGAAGAACAAATAGTTGAATGTCGCTCAAACAGTCAATACTATTTAAATTAAAAATGTTTAAAAATAGAAATTACAATAAATAAATTATGATAATAAATAGTGAAATTTATAAAAAATGCCCTAATGCTCTCATGTTCAACTACAAATATTTAAACGGATTTCGATGCAGAACTAAATGGAGAAAATACTTGGATACCCTTAAATTCACATTTGCATTCGGATGTTAGGGTTTTATTAGTCGTAATGCGATGAAATGCTGGGATAAAACCATTTTTCAGACATTAGGAGAAAGTTCACGTTTTATGGGGTTCGGTGATTGAATTTATGAATGAAAAGTTGAATTCAATGGGACGTGATCATGATTTGAGGAGAACAGTGCTGAAAGATTATGGATTTTTATACGTTCAGGTTGTATTTATCTTGTGAGATCTTGCCAGGCTGTATTTATCTTGTGACAAAATAATGAGCTCGAATAATTGATTCGAAAAGAATTTAATCATGTTTCCTCAGAAAATATGAATGACCTCTGCAATTTAGATTTACCGTTCTGATGAGTATTATCAGTTACAATTAATGCTAATTCTCTCGCCATCGAAATTCCGAAAGTAGCATCATGAGGTGCTGTATACATTCCTCATAGGCCAGAAGTTTCCCCAACCTGGTGGAGTCAACAATCGTAATTACGTAGGCTACTCAGAACTTCCCAGAATTCAGTGGAAACTCACTGTGTGTCTACCCTCGTCGTCTTCGCCGACGTGCTCGCCAAACTTTACTTCTCTATCTTCGTGGGATTATAAATTGGTGGAAAAAAAAAATCGAAAAAAGCTGGTTATCACCTTTAAATTGTTTTTCGATCTTCTACTCTTTTCTGCGTTTTACAAGTTCCATTACTTTCTTTTTTCGAATGAAAAAACTGCAGGAGTGGAGAAATTTCTCGGGGGAAGTGAGGGCTTTTCTTCAATCTCTGATAGCCCTTGTTGACTTTTTATGGCAATCCTCCACACAAAGACATAAACTAAGTTCGACCGATGATAAAAGTTTGAGTTGTTTCGGTATTCTTCATTGCCTTCTTCACTCGCCAGTTTCATTGGACTTCTATCGTGATGATAAACTTCTTTCGCTGACATTTCAAAGAAATTTTGCTCTGTGTAATGGCATTCTCCAGGTATTTGTTCATGATATTTTTATGGAGATTACGTGGGAATATAATATGATTGATGGGAGAGGTTTTTGCACTGGGAAAAGTTGTGTCTGGAAATATTTGAATCGAATAAAATTTAATCCGATTTAGGGAAAAAACGGTTATGAAATTTCTAGTTTTAGGTGGAATTCAAGGAAATTCATGAGTTTTCGGTGGGAGTGAGACGGAAATTTCACAACGTAATTGAATTTTTAATGGAAAATGAATATTCAGAAACAAAATGAAATGGGTTTTCAATTTTTCCTGAAGTTTCCTGATTTTTCCGAATTTTTAACGAATAACGAATTGAAAAATACAGTATTTTATTGATTTTCAGATTGATTGAATAGAAAAACAATGGAATATTTAATTTTTTAATGACAAGAGTTAATGAAATTTCAGTGGAAATTACAGATGATAAAAATTTCCGGCGTTACTGTCCATTTTAGTACAATTATTCCATGAATAAATGTTTGAGTTTTCGATTAATTGAGAATTCAGTGAAATTTGGTCAAATTTAGTCAATCGCACTGATAATGTGCTACATTTTGAACATTTTTGACAGAAATTTTTGGTACAATTCTTGAAAACTTTTATCAACTGACACTTCAACTGAAATTTCAAGACATTTCGATATTAAGAATTCAGAATTTGATGATAGAGTCACTGGAAATAATAAATTTCAACGAAAATAAATAAAAATCAGAACAATTCAGGTGAACATATTTTTGAATTTTCAACAAATTCAACATTTTCCGTAATTTCACACTGAATATTTTCATTGAAAATTCAAGTAAGTTAAGGGAATTCTCGTTTTCCCGTCGCTAAAAAAATAGGAATTTCTCTGAATTTTCAATGAAATCTAAAATTTCACGATTTTTTCTCCTTAAATCGAACTTAATGCCACTCTCCAGGAAATAACTAGTCAATGGTTCATAGAATTTAAATTGTTTTGTGGAAATCACAAGATCACGCACAAAAAAGTTTTGAAAACGCCACACAAGAGGGTCAATTAAAAAAATTAGTTCTCCCACTGTACATAATTGTCAAATTAATATTCAAAAAGCAGACGAGACTCTTTTCCATAAACTCCCCATCACAAGAAAGACTCCAGACATCTTGTAGAAAGCAAATGTAAGACATTATTAGTGAAAGGAAAGAAGAAATGAGAGCCCTGAGAACCACGGGGAAATGATAATGACTTGCAAACATACACGAGGACCCTTCCTATACATATACTTACCTCAAGAGGCGCATCTGAGCATATTCGCGAATGCTCTTCGCTCTGCATCTACCATTTCTCCTTTCAATCCCCTTTGTCCTCTCTTCCAACGAGCCCCCTCATTTTTTGCGTTCTAAATGAATCTGAATATCCTATTTACTTGACTGTTAATGTTTGTCAAACACTCGCTGACTTCCGACTGTTGGAAGAGAAATGATTCCGTCTCTGGGGGAATTTTGTAATTGTGGAAGCATGAAGGGTTCATTACACGGAGAAATTTTTTTTGACCGAACGTTTACGATGTAAAATTCATTTTTTACGGTTTACTATAGTAATTTTTAATGCACAAAACAGTATAAAATGCGCAGACGGAAAAATGATTTTCAAGAGTGTTGAAAACGCTTCATTTTTTTTTAAATCAATTTTTACTATCGAATGACGAGAAATTACGCAAATCGTATGAATTTTTACGATGTTAAATTGTAATTTTTTCGAACTATTTAAAATTTTAGTTTATACTCTCGCGCCTCTTACATTTTACTTGAGGAAATAGAAATATGTTAACTGGTAAAAACTCCAGCGGACTCCCCCTCCTCTTTTCAAAATGAATTTACGCGCAGCAAAATTATTGATACCAATTTTTCAATTCAATTTTTTTCGAAGGATGATAAAGAAGATTAAATATGGTTTTTCACTTGGGTCATTCTAAAAATTCCCCTCTCCCTCGCCCTCTCTGCTGAATATTCATTTTGGAAAGAGGGAATATTTTTTTAACCGACGAAGTAAAAATTCTTGTTTGTCCTTCTATATTTTACTCGTGTCAATTGAAAATTGAAGTTTTGTGCTACCATTTTCTACTATATCAACTCTCGATTTTTACTATGTTCAACAGTCATTTTTCCAACAGACGCCGTCATATTTTAATTTTGTCAGCCGTATTTTTTCATCTAGTACGTCGTACTTTTTCACTTGTTCCCAAATTTACTATGTTGAATAGTAAAATTATTGCTGCAATTTCAAGTAAAAAATCTCGAAATTTTTAACAATCAGTCATTAACGCGAAATTTTCATATATTATTTTTTTGAAAATTCAGTTGAATTCCGGAGTATTGAATAGAAAATTCAAGCAACAATTTCCTGAATTTTTAATCCACTAAAAATTCAGTCGGATGTGATAGTCAGTTTCCAAAATGAATTCGAAAATTCTAGACGTCACTGAAATCTCAGTGATAATCTAACGTGGAAAACCCAATTATGCTGAACAATTTGATTTTAAATAGAATTCAATTTCACAACATTGATAATTCAAGTACAACTATTAATTAATTTTCAAAAAATTACTAACATTGTGTGGTCCTGCATTCTATTTCTCATATTAAAAATTACTTTTCTATTGGACAAATTCTGAATTGAATTAGTTCCTCAACTGAAGTCATCATTCAATTGCTTTCTGAGTGGATAAAATGTCATTTTCAATCCCAAGAATCTAATTTTATTTCACAACGAATCAATTATTAATGCATATTTATTTAATTAAATTCACAACCCGAGACCAATTCTAAAATTGAAAATGAAATTTGCTTTAACAAATAAACAATCATGAATGCACATTTCTCAATGAAATCTCATCACGCCATTCGGGCGAAATTAAATGCGATTTCTAAAGATCACATTATCACACTAAAGAATAAATTTCCCGGAAATTTTTAATTCAGCATGAGATAGACAGCACCAGCAATGCACTATTAATGTTTCACTTCCATTAGTCATCACATGCGACCGCATATGAATAATTGATTGCTTGCACTTAGCGTGTCCTCACACATGCAGATTAATCCGAAATCACGGATAAAATATTAAAAGAGAATTTTTCACGAAAATTTATTCATGAGTTTCCCCATTGCTGACATGATTTCAAACTCATCAGACTTCATTTCCACATAACAAATAGCTGGTACATTTTTTTCTGTTATCACACTGTTCCACGGCAATATCATGCCATGAAAAAGCCTGGAGTAATCTGAGTCAAGATCGATATTTCCATCAGCACCTAATAATTCTCTGTCACGTTTTTTTTTCACGTTTTTGTAAAATATAAATATTCTCTGCATGGAAAAATGAGGTTCCATCGCATACGGTGCATTCTACTCCATGAATATTTGCGTGACAGAAAGGCAAAACTTAATGAGAATGTGAAGGATAGAATTGAAGGAAACCGTCCCTCATTTTCCTCGTCGTTTTTTTTTACGTAACTTGTCGGCCACAATGACGGCTCTTTCATACCGGCGTAAGGCGATTACTCGCGAGTTGTCAGGGGATTCTGTAACACGAGGAGCGCGTAAAAAGTGTATTGAGGGGGTCTCAGTGAGAAAATGACAAACTCAAATGCCTCTATTTTATGAGAATGCGGAGAATGGAATGCGAAATTCTTCACGACGCAAAAACAGGAGAATTTGATTTATGCTAAGCGAATGTTTGGGATGTGAAATTTATTGTTTACTATTTAATATGGTATTATTTTTTACAAAGAAAATTGTATAAAATGCACGGACGGGAAAAATTGGTTGCAAGAATTTTAAAAATACGCAACACGAAAATCCGGAAAGCCGTGCCCCAGTATTCGTTGTTGTGCCTTGATTTCTGTCTTGAAATTGAGCGGATTTGTTGAGATTCAACGACCACCAATTAATTGAAATTAATAATTTAGTAGTGAAGTGGTAAACGAAGATGAATCGACTTATCTCCCAATTGAGTTTTTGAGGAATATTTCCGGATCTAAGGGAGATAGCGAGATTTTCGTAATTACATTTTTTGCAGCACTCAATCGGCTCCACAAAAAAGGTCATAACGAAAATTTTACTATCTCCCTTAGATTCCGAGATATTCATTGAAAATTGGTCATTAGTCAGAATTGACTTATCTCCTTTTACTACTTCGCTACTGAAATGAATGAATAATTAATTGAAATTATCAATTGTCACTAGTGCATTGACACAAATCGCGTTTTTTGCATCATAAAAGCGGTTTCCCTCTGTGTATTCAATGTTTTGCAGTGATTTTTGCATATGAATATGATTTGGCGATTGGCGAAATAAATTAGTGAACGAAAATGTTCACTATTGTTGCCAATTATTTTCCAGTATTTTACCAATTGTTCTATAGAATACTTCTGAGGCGTGCCTACGTGTAGTACATTTGTTTGTTCCGTTTTTTGCAGATGTCACAGACCAAGGGACAGTTTATTCTCCTGGAGCTCGGGCTTTGACAATTTCACTGGTTTCGTTAATTGGGGATTTTTACTGCTGGGGCTCGGCGGCGTCCGACTGCTCCTAGAGAATTTCATAAAGTAAGTATCATTCATCGAGTAATCCGGTCTTTATTATTCCATAAAGCTCGACGTCAATCTGTTTGGGGGAATTTTTTCTTTCCGCTTTGTAGAAACAAAAAAAATATTTTTTCATGAATTCCTGCAATTCCAAGAATTTAAAGGAATTCTCTGAAAATTGATGGAAATTTGGCAGAGAATATTCATTTTCACTTGAAAATTCATGTCGAGTGCGAACTTTTCGTCTTCGAGCCTCTAAAAAATGGAATTTTACTGGAATTTTAAAAGAAACTTCAAATTTTATTGACTTTTTCCCGTTAAGGATGTCCAAGTATTTTTTATAGTTTGGGACAGACCAATTCAGCTATTTTTAATTATCAAATTTGTCAATTAAATTAGGTGAGATAAATTTGAAAAATGATTTATAAATCAATAATTCAAATTTTTTCGACTTTTACTAACTTTTTTTATGCATGAAATTGTTACGATTCCCAACAACTTATTTTTATTCCAAAAATTCTAGTTTTTCAATTACTTCATCAATTTCTTTTGCAGATTTCTAAAATGTTTTCTAATGGTTCAGTATCAAGATTCGATTTCATTTCTGCAAAGTTCAACAATAAAATCATTGTAAAATGTCCGGAAACTTGGGGTAAAATGGGGCGAAAATATGAGCCGATGTTCGATTACAAAAGTAGAAAAGTATTTCACTGGAGAAAAAATAGTCAAAGTACTTGGATACTCTTAACTCAAATCCACGATCTTCTGGAAAATTCAGCCAAATTTTTTCAACCTCGTGGTTATAAATTAGTGTATAGTTTTGTAAATGTCATTATAAATTAATTAATGTGAATGATATTGTTCAAATGATACTTAGATTCTTCTTAAAATAACATAGAATAAATATTTCGTTTTGATACGAAGCAGCTATCCCAGTCCAGTATTTCTCATGCCAAGAGCAATATATCAAACATTTATGTTATTTTCTCTTCTCTCGTTCTCCTCATTCTATCATTTCTCGCGTTTATGATTTGATGCTGTTTGATCTCCATCGATATGAAGGGTTCTTGATTACATCAATTTCCACTGGGAATGGACGTGGAGAATGAGGAAAGCCTCGATCTATATCAACTTCCCGCCGGGCACTGGCCTAATTGCTTTTGGCAGAGGAAATAAAATAATGGAACTCTTTTTTTTCCTCCTCCATTTTGCTCTCATTTCGTCAGGTGATGTCACTGAAATTACTGGCATTACGGTTCACCGTTTGGTATTTTTCGATTAAAATAAAGCTTGATTGAGTAAAGAAAAATATGCGAAATGAGGGGAGCAAGCGTCTGGAATTTTACAGGAAATCCATTTTTCCGCTCCACTGGGATATTAAAAAATTCTCATCGATGAATTTCGGTTGCTCGTATTGAATTTAAATAACTCGAGGTACCTTTGGAATATTTTAATCACCGTTGTTTGAGTTTCAACAAAAATTCGATTTCCAATTAAACAAATTTTGCATGAACAGAGAAACTGCCAATTATAGGCGTATGATGAATTAGTCGATCTCGATGGAGATTGGAAATGAAACGTGTGCAACGGGTTTTTTGGGTTTGATTGTGATGTAATTAATCCATTCGGAGTGAATAAAAAGCACATCATTAATCATTAATACTATTTTATCCACAAAGTTTGGATGTTCTTTTGAAAGTCTTCAAGGAAATCATCTCCAAATCAATTTGGAACAGTCTTTTTTTAATTTTTCCGTACCAATTTAATTTTTACTCTTGAACTCCACCCTGAAAACATATCTCTCCCGAGGGTTCTTTCATCTTTAATAGATATGTCAGATCGTTTTAAATGCAAATGGTTGGTTATCCTGTTTAGTAGATACATACATAATAAGGAATAGTTAAAGTTTCTCCACCGTAGCTACTGGTTCCTTGGAAAGTTTGCGGAATCGTCCGCCCGGGGCTCATATACCTTCAATTAAATTGAATAAATATTAGTTTTGCGGAGAACAGATTTAAATTGCTCCCTACCTGAAAATAACGTTTCAGTGATATTCAGCTGATTTAATATGAATTAAATTTCTCTCTGTGTTCCGGGCGGAGGATTTTCAATCCATGTTCAACATTAATCAACGTGAATTTCCTCTTCATTATTTACAGATATGGAGTGCGGGTGGATCCCAGAGAGTGGTTTCTGTTTTTAAGTGGTAAAAGCGATGGTGGAGCGCAGTATCCGTCACTCATTCTCATTGCATGTGAGTTAATATATTTTAATGAAGTTTTTTTTCGACATGAACTATTGATTTTGACACAGGGGGTAACGTAAATGTACCTGTGCTCGGACATATTCCGATAATAACTTGTTATTGTGGCTGTCCAGATATTGTTAGCTAAAAAATTCGATTTTGCCGAAAGTCGACTTTCCCCCTGGAAAAATCCAAGATCTGACCGTTTGGCTCCGGGTGAGAAATTTTTTTTTTCATTTTTCACTTTTTCCACGAACTTTTGAGAGTTTTGAATATCCGTCGCGTAAATCATCGGAATCAACGTTCACCGGGCTAAAAAATTCGATTTTGGCGAAAGTCGACTTTCCCCCTGAAAAAATCCAAGATGTGACACTTTGGCCCCCAGTGAAAATTTTTTTTTTTCAGTTTTCACTTTTTCCACATACTTTTAAGAGTTCTGAATAGCCCGTCGCGTAAATAGTTGGAATCAACGTTCACCCGGCTAAAAAATTCGATTTTGGCGAAAGTCGACTTTCCCCCTGAAAAAATCCAAGATGTGACACTTTGGCCCCCAGTGAAAATTTTTTTTTTTCAGTTTTCACTTTTTCCACACACTTTTAAGAGTTCTGAATAGCCCGTCGCGTAAATAGTTGGAATCAACGTTCACCCGGCTAAAAAATTCGATTTTGGCGAAAGTCGACTTTCTCCCGAGAAAAACGAAAAATCTGACCGTTTGAAAATTTGAAAAAAAAAACTTTTCCAGTTTACACTTTTTCCACATACTTTTGAGACTTCTGAATAGCCCGTCGCTTAAATAGTCAGAATCAACGTTCACTTGGCTAAAAAATTCAATTTTGGCGAAAGTCGACTTTCCCCCTGGAAAAATCCAAGATCTGACACTTTGACCCTCGTGACCCTTGTGACCCTTTGACCGATTTTTCCCCTGAAAAAATCCAAGATCTGACACTTTGGCCCCCGGTGAAAAAATTTTTTTTTTCAATTTTCACTTTTTCCACATACTTTTGAGAGTTCTGAATAGCCCGTCGCTTAAATCATTGGAATCAACGTTCATCCAGCTAAAAAATTGGATTTTGGCAAAAGTCGACTTTCCCATTGGAAAAACCGAAAATCTGACACTTTGACTTCGGGCAAAAAAAAATTTTTTATTTCGACATTTCTGGCGCCTCCGAGGGTTTCATTGGCACTGGAGGGGCCAATAAATACCGAATCAACCTTCACTTGGCGAAAAAATTCGATTTTGGCCAAAATCGACTTTCACCCTGACTCTAGACCCACGTGAAAATGAAAATTTTTTTTTCTCTTTTCTGTCACCTCCTAGGGTTTCATTGGCATCAAGAGGGTCAATAAATACACAATCAATGTTCAGTTTTATATTTAAACCCCGCCTACAAACGTAGGGATCACGGTGGCTAAAATATATTCTGCAACCCTCTCTCTTCGTTGGCTACAGATTTCAACCCTCCGCATACATGCCTTTCCCTCCACCCCCTCGTGAAATTCCGCGGTCTCGGTAGTATAGAGGAGGACTTCTCAGGGCCCAAAAGAACTGAGCATTCAAAAGGTCTCCGGAAAACTACGTCGCAGAACTGATTAGGACTTAACAGGTCAATCTAGGTCTGGAGGGATCTTGAAAGACCTGTGTACGTCCATCAGTCAGAACCAAATCCTCGACTCGCGTGAGCAGCATCAAGACATGAATATTTACTGCCAAATTACCCGGAATTTTCAATGAATACAAAATTCAAGATTATATTTACCCCAATTCCACTGATTTCTATCAATTTCGATTGATTTTTCCATGAAATTTGAAATTTTCAATGACGAAATTATGTGAAATTCCAATATAACTAAAATGTGATAAAAATTTCCAATAAGTTTACTGGAAATTTCAGCTAAAAATTTTTAACGGTGCCGTCCACAATACTTTGATGGCAACAATTCAATAAGTAATGAAATGCTCAGAGAGTATCGCATAAAAATTTAATCATTGACCTAATCATTTTCTTTTTTTTTCTTATTCTTATTGTTCAAATTCAATGTCCTGAAAGAACTAAAAAATTCGCCCTAAAAAAGCGGTTTGGGGGGAGGGGCGGTCGTTGACTTTGTGACGTAATTTACAAGAGGGGGTCCATGTTGCGACGGCTGTTGACTGCGGGGCGGAGGGGGAAGGAGTCTAAAAAGCACAAAAACCGTGTGACATAATATTTGAATGGCCCCTAATGACATGTCCACCTCAGCTAACCGAGCACAAGGCCATTTACCTCCCAGTAATTTGTCAGGTAATTTTGTTCTCTCCGTGAATTTGAAAATGATTATATCCTCGAACGCGTCGGCACCAGTAATTCTTCATCGTAAGCAACCGAAACCGTGAAAATTTCAATTTTTTCCTTCTCGAGATACGACACGAACGGGATCGAGGAATGTACGTGTTTCTTGCGGGCTTTTCCCGTAAAAAAATTCCAATAACACTTGTCGCACGTCGGTTCGGAAGAAACGTTTCAGAGTGGAAAAGAATGTGTATACATCCCTCTATATAGCTTTCCATTTACGTTTTATTCTCCTCGGTGGTATTTTCTTTGAATTTTCCCTCCGAATGTGAATGCTCTCGGTATACGAAAATTGTGCCTTGTGAATTTTTGAAGGGGGATTGAAATGATGAGTTGTGGAAACGGGAGATAAGTCGGTGGAAATACGGAAATTTCATCAAATTTCATTTCTACGATTCATTCGGTGATGATGAAACTTTCGATTTTTACACGGAGAAAAATTTTTGGTAAAAATTACCCTTCCAAAAGGATAAACGTGTATTATTGAAATTTTTCGTCTGATTTATATCTGGATGTTCTACAAAAATTGATGTTAAATAATAAAATTTATCATATGTAAAATAAATTTTACCCTTCCGTATGGTAATTTTCGCCGAAGGAACCAAAAATTGTCTATACATTTGTCAAAATGTATATAGACAAAGAGAAAAAATATCTATGTGAATGATAAAAATTATAGTTATCCTGGTAATTATTATAAAATTCATAGAATAATTTTTATTCACCCAATTCTATTAAATTATACCCATCGTGCGCAGAAATTCTACCAGTAGAATGTCTCGTGGTAAAAGCACTTTGAGCTTTGTCGGTCACACTTGAGTGTTTGGGAGTATTAAGCTCGACGTGGAAGAAATCTGTAGGTAAGATCAGCATTTTTTACCATTTTGGAACAGTAATTTTTATCCAGATATTTGTAAAAACTACCAAGATACGTAATAATTTTTATCCGCGCGTATGGCAATTTTTACTCAGATAAGAGCAAATATTATCCGGAAATGTTCATTAAAATTTATCCACACCAAGGATATTTATTGCTCCAAAAATACACTGCTGCAGAATTACCCTTCTATCCGGATGATTTTTACCTGGATTTCACGATAATTTTACAAAAAATTTCTCTCCGTGTAAACTTTCGATGTTTTTTAGACCGTGATGATCTTTCCAAAATAATGTTCGTCTAGTCTCGACGGCATCACAATTTCTAACAATGTAGTTATGTTCCGTTTAGGAGATTTCCAAATTATTCCAACGATTTTTCCCGAGTGAAATGACCGATTCCTCATATTTCCAAGCATTGTAAACAACACTTCCAACAACAAAGAAACAAGAGTGGAATTAGCCATCCACGGCACATACTGTAAACATAGCTGTATCGAATTACTGCCCTAGGTGCTGTATGGACTACAACAACGAAATTGATCATGGAACAAGAGGAGAGAGGGTGGGCGGGGGAGGGTGCTGGTTTCCGTTCGATACCCGTAATAAATGCTTGGCAATGCGATTTACAGCCCAAGTGCCGGCTGTTGGCCGCTTCACGGAATGCACTTCTCTCTCTCCTCCTCTCGCTCGGTCTCTCTTCACGCAAACGTGGGAGGCTTTTCCAACGGTGCAATCACGCTCTTAATTCGATTAGTCTCTCCCTCCTGTACCTATCGTACATACCCGCTCCACTGGCCCCTCTTCGGATTAAGTAATTTATACACGACAACACCCGCTATGTTCTTCCGTTTTCGTATGTAACTAACAGCATGTTCGCACCTCTGGACGTGAAAGATTTCCAATAAACAACGGGTGGAATTGGATGTTTAAGGAGTAAGTGGAGCAGGAATAATTGAAAAATACTTTGCCTCGATTGTGGGTGTTTTTAATTCGGTAAAAAAATTCTTGTTGTTTCAGAACATGAGCAAAACTTTTTTTTTATTTAGGTCTTCAAACAATAATTATTAAACTAGTATTCAGCTGAATTTTTCTGATTTCTATTAATTGTCAGGAATAATTTACCTAAAAAGGTGACTTCTTATTGATTTTCAAATTGCGATTTTTTGAAGAATAAGTGGCGAAGAATAATTTAAAAATATTTCGCCTCGATTGTGGGTGTTTTTAATTCGGTAAAAAAATTCTTGTTGTTTCAGAACATGAGCAAAACTTTTTTTTTATTTAGGTCTTCAAACAATAATTATTAAACTAGTATTCAGCTGAATTTTTCTGATTTCTATTCATTGTCAGGAATAATTTATCTAAAAAGGCGACTTCTCATTGATTTTTTTTATCAAATTGCGATTTTTTGAAGAATAATTGGCGAAGAATAATTTAAAAATACTTCGCCTTGATTGTGGGTATTTTTAATTTGGTAAAAATATTCTTCTTGTTTCAGAACATGAGAAAATCGTCTTTGTTTATTTAGGTCTTCAAACACTAATTATTGAATTAATTATTAAATTGATATTCAGCTGAATTTTTTTGATTTCTATTAATTGTCAGGAATAATTTACCTAAATGGGACAGTTCGCACTGATTTTTTCGATCAAATTGTGAGTTTTTGAGGAGTAAGTGGAGCAAGAAGAATTTAATAGTATATTTCGTCACTAGGCCGAAAGAAACTTTTCTGGCGAATATGAGTTTGCAGCCCGAGCCGAAGACGAGGGCTGCAATCATATGAGCTAGAAAAGTTTTTTTTGGCCGTATGACGAACAGTATTTTTTGTTATGACGGCCGTAGGCAGAGATTCACGGACGCTGCCTCACGGCCGGAATGACAAAAAAATATTTGTCGTCGATTGTGGACGTTTTTAATTCGGAATACAATTCTTTTCGATTCCGATGATGATAAAAACTTTTTTTTTGGGTCTTCACACATGAATATTCAGTAGCAATTAAAAATTCAAGAATATTTTCAACTGAATTTTCCAGATTTCTATTAATTTTCATGGAACGATTGACCTGAAATAGACATCTTCCATTGAATTGTGAATTTTTAATCACAAAATTCCTTGAAATGCCTGTGGATCAGTCATTGGATCAAAATTTCCAAATTAGAATCATTTCACTGAAGTTCATAACTTTCATCGATTTTCCAATAGCTCCCGGAAATTCCAGAAAAAATTTTCCTTGATGAAAAAAGCTCCGGAATTGATATGAAAAACGCTGAGAAAATTTTTCACTCTGAATAAAGAACAATATTCTTACATTATGAAATTCTTCCATCACGATGTACCAACAAATTTTAACGACACTAATAACACTTTTTTCTCCCCTTACACTGAATCGACGTCTCATTACAAAATCATGCTGACAGCCATAAAGCTAACGCTGATGGTAGCCAAGAGGAAGAAATAAATTTCCTTGAGCAACACGATGGGTAAGGGTGGCAGTGCGCCCATCCATGCGGCAAGATCACCCATTCACGTTACTAAAGTTTATTTTCCGTCCTCGGTATTTGCAAATTTTACGAGAACCGGCGAATTCTCGGGCAATAACGATCAGCCATATTACCGAAGTGTACATGAAAGCCTCGGCTTGAAAAGGATAAAATTGTTTCATCTCTATCCATACAGAGTGTAAAATTTCGGTAGGAAATGACCAAATCGTTTGACGTTTCGCGGCTTAACGAGTTGAATGGAGTGAAAAGCCGGGGGGAAAAGAGCGGTGGAAGGGCTGAGTGACCGAAGCACCAGTGGAAGTAATCGAGACCAAAATTGTTCAACTGGGGAAAGAGAAAAGTGGAAGAGTTCTACACTGACAATGGGCCACAACTGTGAGAGTGAAAAACGTTTCACCAATAAAATGATGACTGCCGTTTCTCCTGTCTCTCTATCGCTATTTCCATTGCCGCTCCCTTTAACAAACCCATCACAACTAACATGTACCAATGTTCATGTCGTAAAATCCGGAAATTAACGTGAAGAGGTGCGAAACCGGTCTACGCCACTTCGAGTGATCCCCTGAAGGCTAGTGGAGACGGTACGTGTACTGTCAGGCGAGCGATAAAAGTATTGGAGACTGCAATTACGAGTAATTTCATCGGCGTATTAAATTCAGCAATTTATGAGTGAATACATTTTTGTCGTGGTTCAGTTTCAATAAAACTTTGGGGAATTTCGTCATTGAGAATTCAAAATTTTATGGAAAAATCGAGGGAATTTGTCAACACTGTTGAAACTATTTCAGTTCAATTATACTGTCAGACGAGCGATGAAAGCTATTGGAGGCTACAATTGCGATTAATTTCATCGGCGTATTAAATTCAGCAATTTATGAGTGAATACATTTTTGTCGTGGTTCAGTTTCAATAAAACTTTGGGGAATTTCGTCATTGAGAATTCAAAATTTTATGGAAAAATCGAGGGAATTTGTCAACACTGTTGAAACTATTTCAGTTCAATTATACTGTCAGACGAGCGATGAAAGCTATTGGAGGCTACAATTGCGATTAATTTCATCGGCGTATTAAATTCAGCAATTTATGAATGAATAAATTTTTGTCGTGGTTTAGTTTCAATAAAACTTCAAGGAATTTTGTCATTGAAAATTCAAAAGTTTATGAAAAATCAGTGGAAATTGTCAACACTGTTGACAAAATTTCAATTTAATTACGCC